ATGCGAGTCTTCCGTGAGGAGATTTTCGGCCCTGTCGTTGTCATCACCAAGTTCAGCAACGAAGAGGAGGCTCTTAAGCTTGCCAACGACTCTACATACGGTCTCGGCGCAGCTGTCTTCACCAAGGACGTCGAGCGTGCGCACCGCGTCGCTGCTGAGATCGAGGCCGGTATGGTCTGGATCAACAGCACACAAGACAGCGAACCCTACATCCCCTTCGGCGGTGTTAAGCAGAGCGGTATTGGCCGTGAGCTCGGTGAGGCTGGCCTCGAGGCGTACAGCAACACAAAGTCCGTACACGTCAATCTTGGTTCTCGTCTGTAGGGAAGCTGAAAAAGTGTGTGAAACTCTGAGCATATGACAGGGGTCTGGGGTCTGTGGAATTGGAGTTTTGGCGTATTATCGTCGTATTTATTAGGAATTATCACAAATACCAGGATGCACCAATGACCAGTCAATATTGCGCTAAAGCTGGCTGCTGGGACGCTGTTATTGAGCCTTGTGAAACTGACTTGAGGCGAAGTCTTAGTTATGAGCCCACTGATCTCCGCTTGTGAGGCTATGGCCTAGCCCGTCGTTGCCGCCCCTAGTCACTAAGTGATACACGTCATAACAGCTTTACAAGTCCTGTAGATAGTGATTGACTGCACGCGACAGTTGCATTAATATTTACTTCTCTGTTTAATTCATCGATTTTACTCCTAACCAATCTATCATCGGTTACCGATCATCATTGCATCCAAAAATGACGGCCCTGCCTCCGCCCAACTATTCCGACCTGGAATTGCCCTCCTACGACACCACTGCTGCTCCCAACTACACAACCCCCACCACTATAACCCGCCCTAAAGCTTCAATTCTCGGCCCTGCAACGCTCTTCATCGCAGGACGCTTCATCTACTCAACCGACCCTCAAGACCCCCCGCTCTACGAATTCTCCCACGACATCAGCTACCTCCACGATAACGATCGCAATGTCAAAGTCGAGCGCGTAGACCCCGTTACAAAGACATCGGCCGGTCTTCCCCAGGTCGTGCTGAAAAATCGTCACCTCTTCGATCTCAAGCATCCCACTGCTGCCGAGTTCCCGTCTTTTCCGTACCATGCCGAAGCTACCTCACAACGAGCGCTAACAAGCTTTGGAGTGTCTTGTTTCCGCTCCGGTAATATTCTGCGGCAGCTCAAGGGCTTTCGGTTCGAGCGGATGGTGAGAGGGCCAGGTCGCAAGTTTCGAGCCGATGGTGTCTTGTACGAAGCTTGCGAATCACGGAGTAAAGGCGTCGCATATGAGTGGAGAGACTGCTATGGCGACATAATAGCGAGAGAAATCCAGGATGAACAGGGCCGTATAAGTCTCTTCGTTACAGCGGAGATGACTCAGGAACTTCGTGATGCCCTCGTTACCGCGTGGGTGATCAGAATATGGTCTGAGCTGTCAAATGGAAACAAGTCGGCGACTCGTCTCATGATGGTGGGCTCCCGTCCATAAAATACTTCAAGTGTGCAGTTTTCGCTGATGTCAGTCACAGACAAGTGCGGCACGCGGACAGAGGATGTTGGGAGTATGATCGTGAGTGCATCGATGGCTGATGCCAAGACATAGGAATCTAACGGCGCAACTAGACGTTTGAAGATACCATGAGCTGACCGTATTTTGGATCCAAGTTATCAGCGTTGTTACTTTTGCATTTTCACGTTTGTTCGAAAGCCAGGCCGGCCCATTTCGATCACATCTTTATCAAGAGATGCTCTCTTTTCCGCTTCACAGAGCAAGGCGGAATTTGCTACAAATCTATCTAGTGAAGCAGTATCCGTTATAGCATCTTGTTTACATACAAAGCTAATAAATATCCCACAAGCTAATCTTGCCGTCTTTCGCCCCTGCTGCAATCCAATGTGTTTTTCTCGCTGTAGCTATTCGTTGCTCTTTGACGCTCAGCCCTGTTCGAACCAACGACCCCGTCCGCGTGCTTGAACTGCCCGTGGGTTGACTATCGTCAGACGTAGAGCTTTCTTTCACCGTCTGATCCGATATCCTAACATCGGCGAATGCAACGGCGTAGCATCCAACTGCATGCCACTTTAAAACAGCGAGTTCTTTCATGGTTTTTGTAGAGTACACTCGCACTTTTGAATCCCATCCTGCAGTAGCAAAGATCCTTCCATCGGATCGTATATCTAGGCTCTGTTGTCCGGAGTGTTTGGTGTTGATGGCTTTGAGCGGATCTTTCCACGCAATGCCCTTACGAGAAAGCTTCAGCCCCTGTGACGATGAAGACTTCAGGCCAGTGGATAGAAGTGACTTCGCCTTGGGTTCTTCGTCTACTATCTCTACTACACGCTCGGTGCTTTCAGGAGATACAGTGTCTTCCAGAGGAAAGAACAGATCGGTAGGAATAGGATGTTTGGCGATAATAGAGTCGGCGCTGGACGTGATGAAATAGCCATTGTAGACGCTCAAGGACAGGACAGGTTGTGAATGGGCCTGGGAATGGTACGTTGTAACCCACTGATCATCGGACTCAAGACGGTGCACAGTCGCGTAACCATTTTCAAAGGCAGCAATGAGCGTGAGAGCGTCTTTGTGGTGCAAGAGAGCAAGGCACATGGCCATACCCGTTTTATCACCAGCCTTGATGGTATGAATCCGTCTTTGCGAAGGCAATTGGTAGATGTCGATCTATGGAAAATCAGCCCTGATCACAATATGGTAGAGACTCTCCATACAGCATCTGAGTGCAAAGTATTAGGCACCGCGATCAGCACCTCAGAGGCGATATCGACAGAGCCAGGCGCAGTCGAACAAATGGCGAAAGCGCAGAAGTTCAAGGTGTTGACTTCAAGGAGATGTAGCATCCATGGTTGCGGTCTTGGTGTAGCAACCTCTTCCACTGGCAATGCTGTGCTGAGGTTCTCCTCATCCGCCTCGCCAAGTTTCCACACTATGAGCTTTAAATCACGACCATGCCTGCAAAGTGTTGTCAGTAAAGGTATTCTCTAGTCATTACTGATTTTTGATAGAGCAGCTACGTGATGATTTTGTCGTCCCCCCAGCCGCCAACACCCAATAGAGCCTTTTCGTGGGCACGCCAAACAGCTCGTGGGCGCATTATTGTGAGGTCCCATAGCACCACGAAGCCATCCGCATCGCCTGTAATGAGGCGTTCATTGGATCTGACGAATGCTGCTGTGTGAATTTGAGATTTGTGTCCGCGCAATATGGATTTTGGTGTCGGTGTTGAAGGATCCATGTTTTTGACGAGTATGTGTAGTCATGGTGAGAAATGAGAAATTGAAAGCTGATTGAGTTGGGTTATTTTTCTAAGAGTCGCTGTGGGACAACCATCGTATGAAGCCCATATCTATAAACATTATTCTGTCGGCCAGATTTAGACTGACGAATAATCCATCCAACAGCATTTCATTGACTATATAAGCAATACAAAGAGTCTGAAACTATTCTGAGTGTTTTCGGACGAGATCTAGGGTGGCACATAGCTGGCTGATCATTACGGACAAACGGATCAACGAATGAATTTCTAAACACTTAGACAAGACGATAATTAAAAATCTACGATCTAGATAGGTACATAATTTATGCATGAACAGTTTGTATGTATCTCTAAAAACAAATATTATATATTCCATATTGGAAATGTCTTCAGGTAGTGTTTTCAATGTGCTACCATTGGCTGTCAAGCCCGAGTTATTTTGGGCTATTGCTTTCGTCCTACCTATCACTTACAACCGAATTTCCAAAATTGTTGTATAATTCGGGCGTACCCGTGCCACTCAACTCGTGTAGCTCGCCTCGCATCGTACATCGTCTGATGGGGCTGACTCTTGCCGCAGGAAAAGACATCGTGGTGCACGAGCGACATCGACAGCCGATTCAATAAGCGAAGCCTGCGGATGGATGGAAGCCATGTCCGATCCTAATACGAGCATCCCTCTCTTCCGGATTCCGGTAATTTCAGGCATTAGCATGTAAGCCGAGTTTCATCAATCCTGGGCGCCACATGTGTAATCCATACATATAACACTCGAGTCATACGTGACAGTTAAATTCGCTCAAGGAACCAACTGCAGCGTTGTCCTATAAGCTCCGTCGCCAACTTTGGTGGATAGTCTTGCATGCATCTGTCATCCAGGTTGAGCCATATGGCCGGACACTTGACTCTTGTAGCGTCCAGCATCATCATGCCTCTTTTAACGCATGCTCCTTTCTGTTCTTAATAATAAGACAGGACAGAACTGAAATTGAACACAGACGCCATCCGGTGTAATGGTCTCAGTACCAGTCAGCCTGCTCTCCGAATCACAGCCGAGAGAAGAGGCTACTTGTACTCGCACGACAGCCGGAGTACGCTCCGTGATTATTGGCTTGCGTACCTTGGTTAAGGTCATGGTGTTTCGCCATATAACCGTGATGCAGCGCTCGGAATCAGGCGGGCAAATTCAGTTGTTAGAGAAGCTCAGACACCTAATGCTGACCGACATCGATACACCCTTGAATTTATATTCATCGAGTCCCGTCCGGTTCACTCTCTTGTTCATGGTCGTTCATTACTACACCCCGCCTTATCGCTCCTAGTCCTTACTCCGACCGACTGTGGAGCCACAACGACAATCCCGAACCTGCGACGGTTTTCTATACCGAGCCCGGGGTAGGGAAACCGGACCAGAAGCCGTGGCCTGGCCCAAGCAATGATTTCATTCCATGCTTCCGTTCGATCTTCTAGAATCTTTCGACTTGTAGGTGGCCCGTCATCTGGCCTCAAATGTAACAGCAAAAGCACTCATTCTGCAACACCAAAACTCCAAAGCTGTCTCGTCTACTTCAGCATTCTGAACGGGAAATCCCACACCACTGCCCTGGCCTCCTGTAGAGAGCCAGGTAGGTTATAGTGTCTGCTCAAACAAGCCCCAATGACATCGCCGTTCTTGGTGTCAGTTTCGGTGCGGCGATGCAAAATGAAGACTCCAATGAAAGGCAGACAATGCCGTTCCCTGCGGAATGGCAAGGTTATTCACCAGGACCCTATGCGACCGACAACAATCTCGACTTTGAAATGTTCGATTTTGAAGTTCAACCGCATTCACATATGGGGGCGACCCCGATCTCCGAACCCCCGAGCACCAGCCAAGACCCTGCAGGTCTATCCATGGAAAATCCCAGAGAGATGACTCTTCAAAGTCCTATGCCGACGTCAAATCCGACTCCAGTCAAAGGAAGAAGGGTCCGAACAGGATGTCTTACATGCCGGGAGAGACATCTGAAGTGTGACGAAGCCGTGCCTGATTGCATGAACTGCCGAAAGCGAGGCCGTGAATGTAAAAGAGGAGTACGCCTTAACTTTCTGGAAGTCAACCTCCAACCTATTGCTGCTACACCAAATCCTGGAGGCTGGGAAGGTATGGAGTGCGGCCGACATGAATGACTTGTGCTAATCCAGGCGCAGTCGAGTTCCAAGATGAATCGCGGGACATTGCCTCAGAATATCAGGGCGGACTTGGACGATATGCACCATACGCTTCTGAAATTGTTGAAGATAGCGATGGTCGGTACGAAACAGTGCATCAAGCCACCGCAACTCATTTCCAAGGTATAGATGCATCAGCTGATAGACTTCAACCTGGTGCGCAACACCATTTCAACTATTCTCAGGATAACGCCGTCGCTGGACCTTCAGAAAACCCAAGATTCAAAACAGACACCGGTGTCAAGCTTGAGCTTAACGAAAATGAACATGGGACTCTGAGCGACGCGTCGCATATAGCCACACCATCGTCATCAACAAAGGCTGTTGTGACCCCACGAGCAGAAGTATTTCCAGAGCAGCTGATGGCCATGAGAAACCGTTCTCTGGCACAGCAAACGTCGAAAGAAGAGGCGGAAAATTTGGTGATACCCCAGCTAGACACACCGCCTCAAATTGAAAGGCCGCTTGTCGAACAAGTCTTCGAGGATGACCATGTGCAACCTTTAGCAACCCAGAGCGACGAGCCGGTGGGCCGCAACATATTGACATCAGCCGAAGAAATCCATTACATGCAAGTTTTTGTCGAAGAAGTGGCTGTTTGGATGGATTCGTTCAACCGGGAGAAACATTTCACCCGAAGCATTCCGTATCACGCTCTGAGGTCAACAATGCTCCTCAATGCCCTTCTGGCATGTGGTGTCAAACATACTTCTCTAGCTGCCCCAGAGAATCATGACAAAGCGCTGTTCTACTACAATACCGCGACCACGCAGCTCCTTCGAAGCCTCCAGAACCCTGATCGAAACACTGCCGAGTGTGCCACGACAGCGATCGTTCTGAACGTATACGAGATTATGTGCGAAAAGCCTGCCCAGCGTATGAGTCACATAGCAGGTTCGAGAGCTCTTGTGCGAGAATGTGGATGGGATGCCAGGAGTACCGGGATTGGACTGGCCTGCTTCTGGTTGAACATAGGGATTGAAGTTCTCAATTGCCTGGCAACAAATTGGCAGACAACGTGGAGTCCTGACGAATGGGGAATGAGCCTCGGGTCTCATAATAATAACCAGGATGACGAGGATGAGGATGAGCAAACATGGGTACACCGTGCGCTCTACATCATTGCGAAGGTTGCGAACTTCCGAGCAACTGCGTCCCGACCTGATGATATTGGCCCTCATAACGAACAAATGTGGGTAAGAAACCGTCTTTCTCAGTGGCATGAGCTTAGAAACCTCTGTCAAGGTTGGAACATCCATTGCCCGAGAAAGATGCGCCCCTTTGGTTATGTGAAAGCGGAAAAGTCGACAAGCAAATCGCTATTTCCCGGTATATGGTACGTGAAATATCATCGCAGCTGCTAAAGCATGGAATTAATCTGTGCTTAGGATGATTCAGCGGGAGGCAACAATAGGCCAACTGCTTTCTCACACTGCACATTGCATCCTTTCACAGACACATCCCCTGGAATCCCCAGCGACTTCGGAGAGGATGCGATTCTTGCAGCTGCAGCATGCCTATCAGGTCTGCGGCATTGTTGCCCATACCACAGACAAGGGGGTTGCTACAGTTGCGATCCGTTGCTTAGCAATTGCAGCTGCTGTGCTAACGAATCCAAACGAACAAGACGAGATCCTCGAGGTCCTTGATAGGTTCAATAGCACAAATGGCTGGCGTTTGGGTGCCATCGAGATGGAGCTCAAGAAAGAATGGGGCTGGGAGCGTATGAAGATGCCCACCTCGAGCCCGAAAACAGAGAACAGCCAGGAGTCGGTAATATCAGCGGTCCGAAGAGCCTCCATGTCTTTGACACCGTCGAGAATTTTGACACCGCCTGTCATGGGCTCTGTGGGAACGAAAACACCGGTCAACCCATTGAGCTTCGCCGATTTCAAGCTGCCCAACCATCCGTACCAGAATTGGTATGAGCCACCAAGTCGATCGAGCTCGTTTGATCCACCACCATCGTAGGGACTTAAATACTCACAGTACGTACGTACCTAGTTGACAAGGAAAGCCCTGCCATGCCAAAAGTTGGGAGATGAAATATTTATGGCGAAAAAAAAAAGGGTAAAATAGACGGCGTTGGGATATCTATTGCTTTTCTCTATATTGCGGGAATTGGAGTTCTTTTCGTCGGTTCAACAGAATGTCAGGGTAGATTCTCTGATATCTTCAAGGGGCACGCCGTGTCGTTCAAGAGCTTCCTCCAGGCTGGAAATTCATACTGTAGCCTCCGGTCTTCTCGTCCTTGACCATCTGGAAGTTGTTTGTGCTCAATCCAAATGGCTTCAAGATGCCATTTCCAAGGTCTTTCAGTTTACCCCACATCTCGCCCATCTCATTCTCTTGCGCTGCTTTGACGCGAGGAGGTAAGTCTCGTAATTGCTTCCGAACAACTCGAAGGTCTGCTGGAGCCAAGCTTTCAGGCTTCGCGGCGAGTGCCTTACAATCTTCTTCTGCGCCGGCAAGATTATGCCATCCACCAGCCTCTGAACGACCACGAGCCCTTCGCATAAGAGCTTTGCATCGGATGCGCTGAATGTTGGCCTGAAGTGTCTTGAGCTCCGCATTATCGGCATTGGGAGCTGGTGCGGCACGTGAAGCACCGTTACTGATTATCTCCTCTTCGACATCGTCGTCTTCCTTCTTCTCCTTCTTCTCATCAGACTTATTACCCTCAGGGCTCAGCCGGGGGTCACTTTGCTCAAGCTTCTCCAGGGCTTTTAGGGAATCAGAAGCTGACTTAATGGCCTCTTTCCAGTCCTCAAGTTGGATATGGCAGGCGGCGATGTTACTGTAGATGACTGCGCGTGGGTAGTGTAGGTATTTAGGACAGGAGTTGACAGCATCGTCGTATTTTTCCAAAGCATCTTGGTACTTCTTGGCGGCGAACAACGTATTCGCCTCATCTTTGGATGCAGTAGACTCTTTCAATAAAGCCTGTATGCAAGTCTTAGTAGCTGAGGTTGGGTATCAAAGTTACAAGATAGTGATGGGATACAAAACGAGGCCACTTACTTCTTCCTCTTCTGGTGTGAACTTGAGTTCTTGTCCATCTGCAGCCTCGGCGTTGTCTTTCGTTTTTTCGACGTCCGTCGATTTGGCTACATCATCTTTGCTAGGCTCGGTTGTGCTCATATTCGTTGGCAAGGACAAATGACGTATTATTGCTATGACAAAGATCAAACCATAGGATGAAAGGACAGATTTGTCGTGTTGATGCAAGCAGAATTGGTCAAAACAATGCAAAAATTCAATTGCAAGTGGCGGGGACTGGCCGCGTTGTGATGAGAGACAGAAACAAATGGATGTTTAATGAAGAAACATTCAAAGCACAATCTCATGAGCCTCATGAAATGAATTCCATGTGGTTCCTGCCCGCCCTGCCCACCTTAATCATTTGCTAGGCTACAGTGGGCTTAGTGGAAATACACTGACCCGCCGCGGGGTATTCAGCGGAATGATTCACTGTCGATTCACTGATCGGCGAGCAAAAAGTTGCCCCGCGCTTGTTAGTTTCCGTCCGTTCTTGTTCGGTTATCAAAATAAATCTCGCGATTGCCTCGTCTTTCTTTTCTTCGACATCTCTCTTGCTAATAGTACCTTCTCAGTATAGCAAGTTCTGATCTGCCGGTTCTTTTTTGTTCTGATACCGCACTCCGATACCCATCCACTGTCTCTAATTGCCAACTCTTGGATCCAGACGCAATGGCTCCTCGTACTGAGTATGTTTATTCTCCTTGACTAATATTCAAGCATTGTTCGATCGCCAGGGCTATACTAATCAGACCTCACCCTCTAGTTTCCCTCCTGTTCGGGCCTGTCTTTTCGACATGGACGGCCTTCTTCTCGACACCGAAGACATCTACACCAAGTGTGTCAACATCATCCTCGAAAAGTATGGCAAGGGAACTCTCCCATGGTCTATCAAGGCCAAGCTTCAGGGACGCCCTGGCCCTCAAGCCAACAAGATCTTCCACGACTGGGCTCAGCTCCCCATCACCTCCGAAGAGTACGTTGCCGAGAACACCATGCTCCAGAAGCAGCTGTTTCCAGACACAAAGCCTCTCCCTGGCATCGTCGACTTGCTTGGCCACCTAGGCCGAACCCGATATTGGGAGGTTAAGGACGGTGCTACTACTGAAGCTAAGGACAAGTCCAGCAGTGGCCCTCAACGAGTTCATATCGCTCTGGCCACTAGCTCTCATCTGGGCAACTTCCGTGTCAAGACAAGCCACCTCGAGGAGCTTTTTGCTGTTTTCCCTTCCCACCGCCGTGTTCTTGGAGACGATTCCCGCTTGACTCCAGGCCGTGGAAAGCCTCTGCCCGACATCTTCCTTCTCGCTCTGAAGACCATCAACGACAGTCTTCCTGCTGGCGAACGACCCATCACCCCCGAGGAGTGCCTTGTTTTCGAAGATTCAGTCCCCGGTGTCGAGGCTGGCCGTCGTGCCGGTATGCGCGTGATCTGGTGCCCTCATCCGATGTTGAAGAAAGAGTACGATGGACGGGAGGCTGAGGTCCTCGCTGGACGCACTGGTGAGGCTGGAGAAGTCGATCTCCACCAGGTTGGTGAGATTGACGATGGCTGGGCCGAGTACATGCTCAGCCTTGCTGACTTCCCTTACGAAAAGTTTGGCATCGTCGTCCCTCCTCTCGAGGTTGAGAAGGAGGATTGCATGAAAGAGGTGCCCCAGGATATTGTTGCTGAAGTCTAGGAGACTGAGCCAATCATTCCTGGCGGGCCGCTGATGATGAAGAAGTCGCTGGACTACGGTCCGCGCAACTAGATGCATGGCAATGCATCATTTTTGGTGTTACTTCTGACGAATTACCATCGATGAGGACATGGGCGAGAACAGAACGGTTTAGACAAAACGATGTGGCGTAAAGAATTTGCTATTATGCAGTTGGCTTACTTTGTTGCGTTGGTCACATACGAGAATAGATAATGAATTTCAGGACATGATACCCAAGCAAGAATCGATTACCTATTTCTATGTGACATGTCATGGCTGGACCCTGTAAACTTACGGCAATAGGAGCTTATCAAGACCGACAATTTTGACGTGCGGTACGTCTCCCCGCGTTTCAACCCCAGGATGAGCTGCGAGTGTGGGGAGAGGAATAAGACCACCTTGACTTGAGAGTAATACCACCACAGTATCAGCTTCATGTGCTTTGATCAACGTGGCACCGTCTGTGTCATGCCATTACAGAGGCAGAATGCTCCCGAGATTTCCCTATGTATGCTATATGAACCCAATGTTTCTCACGGTGCTGTCCAGTTGTTGCTCATCATCAATGTCACTCGATGGCTTCAATATTATCCCTGCCGCTTCATCTTATTGCTGATGTTCTGCGTTTGCTGGATAACATCCAAGAGCTTCCTCCTATTCTGCTAAGCCATCGAATATTTTACTCTGCTCTTTTGGATACCCCAAGTCTGCCTGTGGATATTATTCGCAGTCAGATTCCCAACAACTTGCTTCCGTTGGCTTTTACCGCATTCAAGTCGCAAAAGTCGGTAAGGGAAACAAGCAGTATAAGCGCGGAGGAGTTTCTGACCCATTGCTACAACAATTCTATGCGAAATGTGGACGGCAGTCAACTTCACTTAACGGTAGGTGAAGCCGTTGAGGTTGTCAGAGTCAATGATGCATTGTCAGGCCTAAGGGATGAGTTTGCTTTGTGTTCTCTGAGCAAGCTTCATGGTGTAAACCAACATAAGCCCATTGAAAGTGGCCAAGGTCTCTCTCCTGGCGAATGCTATCGAATCTCTCGCGCATTCTATCGATTTCAGATACATCGAAACCTTTTCCTCGACAAGGAGCAGGAAATTGATCTTTTCCCATCTTATGACGATGAAGAAGAAAAAGAAGATTCGAGCTCTGACAACGAACTGAAAAAGCTGTTCTTTGATCGGCATTCTCCATGGGTCAATGAACAACTGGCTTGTGTTTATGACTTTCTTGAGACAAGATTAACGGGTGGTAAGGTTGACACCCTAATAATCCTTCACATACAGACTTCAAATGAGCGATCCTAACTTGCGCCCTGAATCTAGTCATGCTGACCATCTTGTCCGCAACCCCAGCCTATAGGCAAGTAGTTGTCAATGGCGTTCAGTGGGGAGACAATCTTACCGAGTGGCTAGCTGAAAAGACTCAATCGTTGGAGGAGCAAAGATGCGTGAGTTGCAGCATTTGTCTGGGACTATGCGATTTCCTGATGCTTACTGACGATATCCCAGATGTCCCTCGGTATTCCTCGTCTCAGTCAGCTTCTCAAGGCCTCAACTTACGAAGAGTGGCAAGCTTCACTTAGTGAGGCTATCAGCCCTTGCCAAAACATGCTTGAGGAAGATCTTGAGCAGTTCAACCGTGGAAGAAAGCCAAATAAGAGAAACGAAGTTTGGCGAGCTGAAGATATTGATAGGCTAGCGAGGGAAGTCGACGCTGACGATGCTTTTACTGATGATCAACCAAGACAGACATGGATGAAGGTACACTATGATCATGCGCATGAGAGATATCGCTTAGGTGAGCACGCATTTGCCCCAATGAGGTTTATCTACGGGCTGAGAAGCATCGGATATGTCATGTGGGATGCAGAGAGAATGAAGAATGATGCCTGTAAAGTCACCTTGGACAAGGCGTACCGAGGCGATGCTGTTTTCTAAGCGATTTGCATGAAACTCGAGTTTGGTATTAGGGATACTTGTGATTCAACAGCTGTTTTTATCGAACCTGGGGTACCTTGGAGCTTGAATGTCAGTTCAAGCCCTCAGACTAACGTCTCAGCACCTGATTGTATGCCGATGAGGACTCGTTTTGCGCTCATGGGCCAGGGCATCCGTAGGAATATGGTCTAGGCCGAGACCTCGGTCTCAGGCGAGAGACAGTTGCTCTCATAAGGTACATATGATCATACAAGCCGAGGATAACTTGGAACGAACTTGGCAGGTAAGTAACTGTCGTCTTATGAAGCCAGGTTGAAGGGCCAAGTCAAGAATGCTTGAATTGATTATTGTGATTTCCCCAGATTGTTGAAGAAGGTGTATCAGCCTTTCCTAATCAAGAAGTTTCGCGCGATGGCTAGTGAGGGAGTAGGCATCGCATTTGGTTGCCGGAATCTGTCGGAGAAGAATAAAGCATCGCGGTTCATCATGGTGGCGGGGATCGAATGGGGAAGTGGTTCACCAACTCTGGACACTGACTGTACTCATGATCCTATCACTGTACGAATTGCATCAGGCTCGGCAAAGGCAGTGATACTATGCAGCGCAATACACCATTACTTAAGAATAACCCGAGATAATATTCTTGTCTTGGAATTCTGGCCGTCATGTCGCATTCTAAACGGCCCGGTCAAGCAAGCAACCGAACCAAGAGAGGTAACTAGTTTATGAGGCCTACAAAACACCTCCATGTCCACTTCGGCTCCGTGGGATCATCAGACTCTTTCGGTACAGGAGTTCTCCATAGAAATGCTGACAAACCATGCCGCGAGCACCATCATGAGAAGTCCAACTGCCTTTGGCAAATTTCTAGGCTTCTCATGATGAGAATGGAAGCCAACTCCACAGGTTTCCCCAGAAACTCGCCCCAGAAGCCAATCGAGTTGACAACCACCTCGGCATACCAACCCATAAAGAGTAATAGAAATGCCCAAGTTCTTTACGTACTTACATCGGTTCCCGGGGCCGGATCCTAATTCCCGATCTCCAACTACCGGGGCCGTAAGTCTACCCCGGCCCGGTTCCGGCCTTTACCGGTTCCTCCAGAGGACATTTTCAGTGAGGAAACGCTTAATTTACAGTGGTCCTCCCCTCCACATCCCCGACCTCGCAGCTCCATGACCCCAACTGGAACCGGAATTGGGAGGTTCTTTGACATGACTGGTCTCAATTGAAGCAATATTTCACTATACGGACATAATGCAACGGTTAAGGCATGCTCGACCAGTGGGGTTACAAAGGGTTAGTGCGACCATGTGACGTTTGTAGGAGCTCTCGTGGATCTTTTCGTCTGTATTTACTTGGACGTAGACCGGAACCTTTTTGTAGCTCGGCCTTCATCCCTCAACTTCTTTCTCTTCCCATTCCTTGACCCTTTCTTCTCTTTGACTCGAGCCAAGTTTTCATCGCCAAATTCATAATACACCGACATAATGGCTGAGAGCTACCACAAGGAGGTCATTGCTGGCGTATGTGCCCCTCAGTCATGAGGCACCTCATCTGCCCCTCACTGAGACTCGCGATGCTAACATTGAACGAACTCAACAGCTTAAGGACAAGAGCCTTTTCATCCAGGATGCTTTCATCGATGGAAAATGGGTCGCCAAGGAGAACAAGTTCGATGTTTTCGGTTCGTGACACCGTTATCATGAGTACCGATTATTCAGAAGCTAATTGGAACCTCAGAGCCCTCCACTGCCACCGTCCTCGGCCAAGTTGCCAACTGCACGCTCGAAGATTTCCAGACTGCCATCAAGAGCGCCGATACTGCCCAGACAAAGTACTTTGATAGCACAACTGGTGCGAGCCGTGGCGCCCTTCTGAGAAAGTGGTATGACCTGGTTCTCTCTCACCAGGAGGACCGTACGTTGTGTCCTTTACATGTTCACGGTTTCACACTGACCCGACCTCTAGTCGCAAAGATCCTCTCTCTCGAGAACGGAAAGACATACGCCGAAGCACTGGGTGAGGTTATCTACTCTGCCAGCTTCATCTCCTGGTTCGCTGAGGAGGCCACTCGATCCTACGGTGTCACTATCCCCTCATCCTCTCCTCACACCACCCTTATGACCATCCGCGAGCCCGTCGGTGTTTGCGGCATCATCACCCCCTGGAACTTCCCTGCCGCCATGATCACCCGCAAGATCGCTCCCGCTCTGGCTGCCGGATGCTCCGTCGTCATCAAGCCCCCCTCCGAGACTCCCTACTCCGCCCTTGCTTTCACCAAGCTTGCCATCGAGGCCGGTCTTCCTCCTGCGACCATTCAGGTTCTTCCCACTCGCGACCGTCAGGCTGCTACTGAGTTGTGCACAAACCCTCTCGTCAAGAAGATTTCTTTCACTGGTTCTACTGGCGTTGGAAAGTATCTTGCCAAGCTTGCTACAGGTACCTTGAAGAAGGTCAGCCTGGAACTTGGTGGAAACGCCCCTTTCATTGTCTTTGAGGATGCCGATCTTGACCTCGCTGCCGAGGGTGCCATGTTCTGCAAGTTCCGATGCTCTGGTCAAACCTGTGTCTGGTAAGTCGAGATATTCTCCAAGTAGAATAGACATAGCTAACGTATCTTCAGCGCCAACCGACTCTACGTCCAGAAGAGTGTCGCCAAGGAGTTCACTGCCAAGCTTGTCGAGAAGGTCAACGCCCTGAAGATGGGCGGTGGTCTTGACAAGTCCACCACCCAAGGTCCCCTCGTCAATAAATCTGCTGTCGACAAGGTCAAGGAGCACATTGCCGATGCCACATCCAAGGGTGCCAAGATCGCCACCGGCGGCAGCACCCCCGACAGCCCCGGATTCTTCCACCAGCCCACCGTCCTCACTGGCGTCACGCAAGAAATGGCCGTCGCTAAGGACGAGACATTCGGTCCCCTTGCCCCTGTATTTGAATTTGAGACCGAGGAGGATGCCATCCGTCTGGCCAACGACACCGAATTCGGTCTCGCTGGATACTTCTTCTCCAAGGACATCAGCCGTGTTATGCGGGTTGCCCACAAGTTGCAAGTTGGTATGGTGGGTGCTAACACAGGCAAGATCAGTGCTGCCGAGGCACCTTTTGGCGGTGTCAAGGAGAGCGGCTACGGAAAGGAGGGCAGTCTGTACGGTATGGCCGAGTACCAAAACATCAAGTCTATTACCATTGGCAACCTCAACAATTAGAGTGGGAGTTGCATAAAAGCATTTGAGCGAGCAAAAAAGGGATTTATTTTATTTAGTATGATAATGACGAGGTGGGAAAACCTCACAGGATAACGACCGAGATCAAAAGCATGATTTCTAAAATAAAAAGAGTAAAACACCAGTCTTGGTTGTGACAACGTCGGTTCAAAAGCGCCCACTCCATCAAACCAATTGTGTATCTACTGATCGAAACGGATTGCCTCTCGTAATTACCTCGTCTCCTGTCATCGACATAAGGATCTTGGTGCTAGACTGTTGAACCTGATGTCTATTCTGATTATTCATGACGATATATGGCACCAAACTGGGTTGGAAGTGACATGTTATCCCCGCATTTGCGATCTCCAAACATTCATGCATGAATCTACCATAGCTTGCTGGTTCCATTTACACTGATTGGCTCTTCTCTATGCTTGAATTATTCGGTTAAATTAGTCGGCCATTCGTGACCTCTTGAACCACTACCATGTTTGTGTTACAGGAGTATCTTATCATCAGCCGGCCTGAAAAAGAATATATAATGTTCTGACGCACATTTGAATCTTAGATAGGCAGAATCGTTGTTATTTCGTTCGGTTTTCTCCCCGACCAAAAGGTATTTCTTGAGGAGAGTTTCCCACCACATCTTGAACCAACTCTACCTACTCCAAAGTGTCTATGAACCACGACGAAAACAAATATTCGATATGTCCACAAACGGAAATACAGTCAACGGCATCATGGTAGAATATGAACACACCCGGCTTTTCAACTTATCTCCGCCTCCTTCTCTTGATGCCTTCAAGAAACTTTGCTCTCAGAAAGCCACCAAAGCAGACTACCCTCTCGCTGCAGACATTAAGGAGAACGTACCTATTTACAACCTTTCCAACTTTCCAACCCTCACCGAAACCCAAAAGTCCGCCCTCCAAAATGAATGGTACAAAGTCCTTTTGTATGGACCTGGCGTTTTTGTCACAGCCGGTCTTTACACCAACTTGGACGTTATCAACAAGTCAACAGCTGCCTTCAGCAGTATCATCAAAAGGGAGAGTCAGGGTACCAAAGCAGCAGGCGATCACTTTGCAAGGGCTGGCAAAAACGATCGGATTTGGAACTCGTTCAGCAAACATGGCCTCCAAGACCCAGACTCCTTCTTCAGCTACTATTCAAATCCCTACCTCGGCCTCATCTTCTCTTCATGGCTTGGTCCAGGGTATCGCATCACTACTCAAGTCAACAACGTCCGACCTGGAGGGCAGCCTCAAGTTTCACACCGCGATTATCACCTGGGTTTCATGTCTACTGAGACCTGTGGAAAGTATCCCAGGGTAATGCAAGTTGCAAGTCAATGCTTGACCTTGCAAGGTGCTATAGCACATGTTGACGTACCTCTTGAGAGTGGCCCGACGAGACTTTTACCGTTCAGTCAGGCATTTGCACCCGGCTACATGGCGTATCGTCTTCCTGAGTTTAACGAGTTCTTTCTGGACAATTATATCTCACTTCCGTTAAAGAAGGGCGACGGTTTATGGTTCAACCCTGCTCTTTCCCATGCAGCAGGCGAGAATAAGTCTTTGGACATCAATCGCCTTGTCAATCTCGTCCAGATTAGCAGTGCATTTGGTAAACCGATGGAAACAATCGACGCTTTGCCACTTGTGGAGAGTACGTGGGACGTCTTGACTACTGCTTATAAAGCCCAGGGCCTCAGTGATGAAATTCAGATGTTTATCGCTGCTATTGGAGAAGGTTATCCTTTCCCAACAAATCTGGACAACAACCCTCCTAAAAACGAGAACATGGCGCCTGATTCGGAGCAAGACATTATTCGAGCTGCATTGGTAAACGGGAAGAGTAGAGAGGAAATTTTAGCTGATCTTGAAGGCTTCCGTCTAAGAGTAAGAGCTTAGCTGAAACATCTGTGTATCACTATTAGTACTTTTAGTGGCTATGCCGCACACTCCTATTTACAGAGACTCAGCCCAGATGCCCTCGAATACTATGCTTTGTCCTTTGTGCTCTGAAGGTTGATGATATTTCGCACCGCCTTGTTCAAATATCCCCTGAAACTCTCGAAAGTGACAGGATCGTGACCTTCAAGCCATCGACAGTGGACTTCCACAGCATCCTTTCCAACCCGTATGGAAACCTTGAAAGCAAACTTGCACTTTACGTCGACCACCTTTTGATCTTCAGTCTCCCCTCTTTGCTTTCTCCGACGCCAAGCTCGTGCCCAGACGCGACCTGCTGCTCTTCCGGTCCCTTCTAGGCGCGCAGTGTCCCATTCCCAGGTGATCAAGTCTAGCTTCTCAAGTTCAGAGCGAAAACAATCTGCAAAGTCACCGATTTTCTGTTGGAGAGGTATATCGGCGACTTTCTCTTCTGTGATCTCTGGAAGCACGTTTTTGGAAACTGCTGTCTTGATACCGCGTGCAACTGACTGGGCTGGTCTCATGTTTCCGAAACTCCATGCAACAGCCCATCTTCTTGTTTTGCTGCCCTGAACAAACTCCGTGACAGCATAATTATCGATATTGTGTCCTCTTAATTTGTCCACAAACTCGATCAAGCTTGTGAGAAATCCGAACATCGATGTATACCACTGTACACGTTCTTGAAGGACGAGCGACTCTTTGAGCATGCGGTCAACAAAGGCGATTTCGCCGCCGTCTGTCACCATCTCAACCTTGGCTCCTGTACATGCGGTAAAAGGAGGGCGAGACTTCTTTTTCGCACTCTCTAGCAACTCTTCTTCGGATTTGTAGAAAGGTGGGTTTGACATGGTGAAAGAAATGCTGTTGACATTTAGATCATCGAGGGGAATGAGGGTATCGGTCGGCTGTCGCTCCACGACTTTGATCCTGTTCTCCAGGCCATTCAGTGCCACGTTCTTGCGAGCATACTCGAGGCTTTTTGGATCGATGTCTGCTCTGATTAGCGGTGCTCTGTCCAACGGAGTGGTGAAAGGATTACCAGTGGCGATAAACTCCCAATCACGTTCAGTGCAGCCCATCAAAGGATATATGCAACTTGCGCCGGTACCAATGTCTAATCCAACGATTTTCCTATCCTGTTTCTCGTAAGAAGTGCTGTCAAGGAGGCCTTTTAGCCACATTAGATAGTTGTGTCGGTTGAGGACCTGGGGACGCGTTAGATGGTAAGACGCGTCAAGAAACGAGATAAAACTCACGGGAGGGCATAGTCGATCGTCAGGAAGTTCAAGCTTCAGTCCAAAGTCCAGCTTGAGAAGTGACTTGGTCAATTGCATAACACATTCCGGATCGTTGAAGAAATCAGTTTTGTGTTTCTTCCACCTGCGATGTTTATTAGTGGGATTTCTCGTGCATTTTGAGGACGGAATAATTCACAATCGCGCAAAATCTGCATCTTGAAGAGCGAGCTGCTGAAAGTCTGGCGCTTTTGAATATAGCTCGCTATAGTGACTATCCCGAGATTTTGCATCTTCTGGGGGACCTTCAAAGGTCAACGTTTGGTCGAAAGGGAGCGCCTGACCCCCAACGTCTTGTGAGGCTTTGCGTTTGCCGCCCATTTTGATGATGGACTTGGGTTTCTCGGATCTTATAAAGGCCTTCCTTCGGTGAGAATTCCTTCAGATACTTTTGATGGGTGTAAGTTGTGACATCTGCAACTGTTATGATAGAGATGAGTTTGCAGGGATCAGTGATGTCAGCGGAGATCTCATAAATTAGCGATGGCTTGTAGGCACAGACTCCTATAAAACACAAGCAAGCAGCCCAGTTCATTTGCGATTGTCATGGACCATCAAACAAACATTTAAATTTCATGAGATCATACAAGTAGATAAACTGCAATCTTACAATAAGAACCGTTGAGTAAACGCAATCGCATCGGCTTCGTTTCAATCATATCCTCATCTTATGTACCTTTCAAGTCATCATAGTGGCACTGTCTTACCACAGTAAGACCCTCCATCGCCAGCCCTCGAGGAGCTTCATGTCCTTCTCATCGATATCGGGATCACCGTGCTCGATTCTCGCTGTCAGCTTCTTGAGCCTCTTCTGCACGGTCCGAGCTACTCGAATAGACACTTCGTTAGAGAACACAACGAGCACGGCAAATACGAAGAAAGCCAATTTGGCGAAGCGGCCTTTTCCAAGTATACCGTTCTTGATGTGCTCGAGAAGACCCTTTGACTTTTTGAAGGCGTACTCGGTGTCGTTGGCTGATGCGTGAGAATCTTCGTCATCGTCGTTTCGTCGCCAGAAGCGGCGGATGAAGGGAATGAACGTAGCACTATCGAGGGTGGTCAATTGCTTGAGTTCAAGCCAGTGGGATGTGTAAGTTACTTACATAGCTCCTCCGATGATCCATCTTCGCCATCGATGGTTCTCGGCCTCTTTCGCGATACTGCGCACCTCGCCCTGCAGGATTCTCAGATCATTCAGAACCATGTTGGTCTGGTTGCGAATCCGGGTCTCAAGCTCATAAGCCGACACGGCAGAATCGCCACCTCGTCGCTGACGCTGCAGGCTCATGTACTCGCGCAGATTGAACTGGCAGTTCACTCTAAGAGCTTGTAACTCTCGCAGGTCATTCGGTGCTGTGGCGGGGACCATTTGCTGGGTTGACGCGGTAGCCATGGCCCCGGCATGGTTGGGAAGATATGATTCAGAGGCGGGACGGATTGGGAGGTTGCCTGGGCCAGTTTGAGGACCTGATACGGGAGGGTAGTTCTGCGGGTTGTAAGGCTGGTTGTAGCCCGGTGAGTCGTAATTCTGAGGGTTATAGCTCTGATTGGCATAATCCTGGGGATTGTAGTTCTGAGGCCCTTGAGGTTGAGGTCCATATTGAGATTCGGGGCCTGGATATGACTTTGCTCTCTCTGGACCTCGATCAAAAGCACGATCCCGCCGGTCTCGCTCTCGGTCACGGTCCCGAGAGGGAGACGGAGTTCGGATCGGCTGAGGATCCAGCGATTGAAGCGGTGACTTGTTTGACTTGCGAGTATCAGACATTATGGGCGTTCAGGTTTCAGTCTTGGCTCAAATTAGTACGTATGATTGAACAGACGAATAACTTGTCCGTGACAGCTCACCCAACCAGTGATTTTCTGCCCAAGGTGACCGACAAAGAATGAGTATGTATGTATGCGCTGGCTACAATTGTGGTGGAGAGCGAGAGAGGCTGGAGAATGAATAAACGAGGCCAGCCCATGACGTCCGAGTGGCCGGGGGGGGATAGGCTGAGCGAGAGGTGGGGTGACGGAATTCATGAGGCTGGGGATGACTTATGCAATTCATGATGTGATTGATGTATTCAATTTAATACATACTGCATAACTTTTCACAAAATGACCGGATTCTCTTCTTATCCCTCGTTCTAGCTTCCGGTGGCTTCTAGTTAACTACCTTAGTACCCCAGTATTCGATACATGCGGTGCGCCATATCGTCCATGCCCTCGACAGGCAGTGCTCTCCTAATGTCAGCCAGTATCTGCTGCTGAACCTCTGGGTCGAATCGGTTCCAGATCCTTCGAATATGCTGCACCTGATCCCTTCGATGTGTCCGGACGATATTCGCAAAAGCTTCAAAGAGAACCGCTGCCTGATTCCATCCCAAAATGTTATGAACTTCTTGGATGAGAAATTCGAAAAAGTCGAAGATTTTGCTGAGAAGGTCTTCTGAACATCCTAGCCCTTGATCATTGCTGAGCACGATGCACAGAGCATGCATTTGAGCTGCCCATTCGTTGACTGCACGACCACGGACTTGGCCATTTTCAATGTCCTGCATAGCAGTGCCGAACATGTCCATCGCTTCAAGGCTGGTGAATTCTGATAGGTGCTGGAACACAAAGTCGAGAGCCCAGTTCATCAAATCGTCTGGATGGTTTTCCAAGTATGGCTCGTGAAAGAAGGTGCTCAATACCAACGTTCCGCGTCTCGTTGCCTCCCGGACTCTGGGTAGGAGATTGAACAGGACTTCTTGGTCGACTCTGTATCTTCTCCTCAATTGTCCGACTCTCGAGTGTACAATGATGATGTTTTGTCTTCCACCAGGCCCCGGAACGAATGGAGGCCGGCGTCTGAAGGCCACGTCGTGTGGCTCACCAAGATCTTCAAAATCGTCGCCATAATCCATCTCAGCGATACCGTTCAGGTGACGACGTCTGTCGCCATCCATGTTGATTCTTTGCGGAATTTGTGCACGTCTTCCTCTGGGGTACAATTGGTGAGGTTGATAGTGATTATAAAATTGATACTGCCTGATCATGCTTTAGAGAGCATCCAAGATGGTTCTGCATGCGCCTCAAAAGTGAAGCATGCTGGAGATATTGCTCGCATTTATAGACGCTGAGAAGCATTGTATCAGTGTCCGGTGCAGGTTTGGTGAGGTTGATTGCGATGCCGTGTAAGGTGGTGAGCAAACCACAAGATGTCAACTGGACGTTTGACTTATCGAGAGTTTGGACTGGAGATTCGGCATACAACTCAGCCAATACTGTCGTTTTCAATAAGCATGTGGCCTTTGTCAAGCAAACATTGGGTTTCTGTTCGTTATTCAGAGCAGCATAACTACAAGCACCCTTAGTTGTGAATATCCAGCTACAGGGTGCGTTTGGAGAGAACTCCAACTGACATTCTATCTGAGGCGATGTTTGCTGATACAAATAAATAAAAACACTCAATCAGTTGCCAATACTGCAGAATTAAGGATTTTGTAAGCATGGATCTCACTGACAGCGCCTAAGGCATGCTATACAAAAAATGAGTCTGGTGTTGTGGCCTTTGAACGATATGACAGACACCTGAAGCCTCAGGCATCAGGATAAGGCAGATAAATCAGTAGGCAGACCCTGGAGACCCTGAAGACCCCAGCCCAGGGACCTCATCTCCCCCCACCGTTTCCCTTCTTGCTGTTGAAGATGCCGCGAGACCAAAAGTGAAGAGGCCCCTTCAAGGGTCAAGGCGGGTAGATTGGTCCTATAGGCCTGCACCCTTCAACACTTACACCCACCTCTTTCGTATACCTTAAGAGGTGAAGCATCCATTTGAGTCGGCCGCTCCGCTAAAAATATTCTTCGTATCTTGTTATCTCGCTGAAGTAAATATCATATTTTCCCTCACAAAGATCAATTGTAGTCAATTGGTTCCTTTACATCACCGGATGCTCTCTGAATGTGTGTTCAGCAGCATCGTGTTAGTAAGTGGTGATCAAGCTCTACACCTATCAGGACTTACATCCTTTTCAACCTCACGTCAAATTGTCCGCTCTGGTTTTTTCTGCCTTATTCCGGTACAAGCGACTTCCGAACTGCCATCTGCCTGGGCCCCAGCATCTGTCGTCCGAGTATAAGTATCTCGTGTTCCCCCCTCTGTCTGTTTTGGCATGCTCAACAGCCCTCTTCTTCTTCACTTCTCCCGTCCTCGAACATCTTTGTTTGTATGAACAAGATAGTCTCTCATCGTACCATCCTACCTCTTAATACTTCTTCATTCCAATCCATTATCGTGGCACCTCGTGTCATTGCTGCTGCCTCCAAGAGCTATCCCATCCTGACCTCTGCATCATGATGGGCCTCGCCACTCCAGCCTTCGACACAGACGTTGGCCATAAGGTTGAATACAAGATTCGTGACATTGGAACATGCTCTGTTACCCTCTTTCCCACCCAAGCACAGGTCAAAAGAGAAATCAAGGATGTGCCTCTCAAGGTATGCCTTTCTTGGCCAATATCTCTCCTTATGATCACTCACCTAGTCAGCCTGGAGTCAACGAGATATCCTTTGTCGGGTTGAGCCCAACCATTGATAAGAACTCGGTCACCGTCAAAGGCAGCGGTTCCGCTACTATTACGGGCATCAGTGTTGAATTTCTCCCCAATCGTGAACTTTTCGATGAAGTCTATCCAAATTCCGATGATGATGATGATGATGATGATGATGATTCAGACAGTGAAGATGAAGAAGAAGAAGGTGAACCCCCAGAAGTACCACATTATGGGCAGTTGCTGGAAACCAAGACGAAACTCATCGACCTCAAAGACGAACAGCAGCGAGCCAGAGAAATTATTGGCAATGCTGATGAGCGTATCAAGGTCCTTGACATATACTCCAAGTCTCTTGATAAGAGAGAGGGTGTTAACATTAGTGAGATGCTTGACACTTATAAGAAAGAGCATCAAAAAGCTTTTGAAGAACGTCTAGTCGGCGTGCAGAGGGAGCGAGAGCTCACGGAGGCCATCAACAAGGTTACCAAAGAGCAGATGCGCTTGAACAAGCTTGGAAACAAGTTTCAGAAGAAGGAGGCCAAGAACAAGGCGAGAATCCAGAAAGCCGTCCAGAAAAAGCAGGAACAGCGGCAGAAGCGCCAAGAGGAGAGGCGTAAGGAGAAAGAGCGTATTCGCAACGAGCGCTCACGTTGCTGGCCGCTCTTCTGCTATACCATACACATACAACTTGAGGTGGGCTCATCCTACACGCCAGCTTCCTCTCGCCGGGAATCAGTATCCAGCGAGGTTGAACTTGTTCAGCGGCCCAGGAGTAAGACTGCAGACCTGGAAGAGACATCCTCCTGCAACCTTGTGTTGTCATATATCACCAACTCGGCATTCTGGACTCCCAACTATGACATCCAACTGTTGACTGTTGACTCCACGGGTACGCTTTGCTTCGATGCAGGTCTGCACAACACAACATCTGAGACGTGGGAAAACTGCAAGATCACACTGTCAACTTCTCAGGCCACATCTTCAAGCCTTGACGAGTCGATTCCCAGTCTCACACCCTGGCATATCAGGCTGGGCAACAAAAAGTCCTCATCTGACGAGAGTGGTGCTTTTGAAAGTGTGGTGGAACTTCGGCAACAAGCCACATGGCGTAATAAGAAACAAGTACCACAGCGGTCTCCTAACTTCGGGCGCGAAATGTTTGGGCTTCCAGGCCAAGCTCTAAATGACTATCAGATGCAGTTGATGATGTTGGAACAGCAGAACAAGAAGAGACTGATGATGGCTAGACAGGAGCAGGATTCCATGGCTCCGCCTGCTAGTCATCCTTTTCCTCCCCCTCCTGTTCCTACTGCTGCGATGATGCAGCAACAAGCACAAGCGCAAGCACAAGCACAAGCTCAAGCGCAAGCTCAAGGGTTGCAGATGCGGCCTATGTCCCAGTCACTCAACATGATGGTTATGAACCAACTGGTACAGCCCCAACAGATGCAGCAACAACAACAGATGCAGCAACAACAACAGATGCAGCAACAGCAACAGCAATTCCCAGGAATGTCACAATTGGACCTTTCCTCTAACTTCGACTTCGATGCCTTTCTAGGTGAAGATACAACTATGACAGATGCTCAGCCATCCCTCGAATTCCAAAATTCTCTCGTTGGAGAGACCGGCTTCACCACAACCTTCGATCTTCCCGGCCTCAAGACTCTCGTGCCCAAGTTCACCGTTTCCAAGCAACGTGTTGCTCGCTTGCAATTCACCAATGTTCTCTTCAGCCACACCATTGTGGCCAAATATCAGCCAGTGGCTTATCTCAAAGCCAAACTCAAGAACAACAGTAGACTTACTTTACTCCACGGTCCTGCGAGCTTGACACTTGACGGTAGCTTCATGGGGCAGACCAAAATTCCTCGATGTAGCTCCGGTGAAGTCTTTACTCTTAGTCTGGGTGTGGACTCGGCGATCAGAGTCATCTACCCGAAACCTGATGTCCGAAGAAGCACGAGCGGAGTGTTCAGCAAAGAAGACAGCTCTGTATATGTTCGCGCTGTCACAGTCCACAACACCCGCGTCACTGCTAAAAAGCCCATCAGCCTTCTGGTGCTGGATCAAATCCCTGTTTCAGAGGACGATCGTCTCCGAGTTGAGTTACTTAATCCTCGAGGTTTGACTGTCGAAGGACCGCGTCAAGCGACTGGCGCTCCTGGACGTGAGACCGCAGAGGACAAAGACTGGGGCAAAGCTACGGCAGCTCTTAAAAAGAGCGGACAGGTTTCGTGGGAGGTCTCGCTGAATGCAGGCAAGGCCGTAAAATTGGGACTCGAGTACTCGGTTTCAATGCCAAGTGGCGATGTTGCTCAGGAATGTTGATTTGCTTCAATATGTCCCGGAGTTGAAATTCATGGATTTAGGATAATTGGATAACTCTGGATCTTTAAAAAGTCGTCGACAAGGACGCGTTACAGCACCATGCTCACCCACTTCTATTTATTCTCGGTGGTTACAATAGTACGCAGTCATTCATTTCATTCTCGTTTTCTTTCCTCTACTTAATAAGATCGTTTATTGTGAAGTTGTGGTGATTGCTCGTATCCTCTTACTTCATGTTGAATGAGGGATCTCAGCTCTTAGTACTGTGCATAATTTGATACACGAATCGGCGTACATAACTCAATCTTCGCTCATCTCAGAGTCACTGTTGTCTTCAGAATCATCCTCCTCCATTTCGGAATTGTCTTCCTCCCCCGAGTCCTTGAGCTCAAGTGTTCGAAATTGATCACTGATGATGCTCGATTCTATTATCGCCATGCGAAACGCTTCCCCTGGGATCTCTGTTCGGGCAGGGTGTAGCCTGTTACCGAAGTTTGGTGTACGCGGAATCCCTGAAGGGCCAATAATCGTATTCAAGGGTGTATCTCGTGGGCCGAGGCCACCTTTTGTATGCATTACTATTGATAGGGGGTGGCGGAGAAGATGATGCTGGGGCTGCGTTCGCCACTCGACCTCGTTTTTCCGGGCATTGGAGATCTCGTGCGCCCAGCACGGTTTGTTTCGATCGATGTAATGCTCGATTTGGCCGAGCATAATCATCTGCGACATCACCGGGTCCTCTACAGAGTGGTGGGAGTAGCTCTCTGGCAGCTGCCAGGGCTTTCTCTGTCTGTGCCGAGACCAATATGGGTGTCTGCGTTCGTACTTTTCAGCGAGTAGAGCTGGGTTGATGAACGGGGCTGGTGTGCTGCCCATCTGGCTGTTCTTGAGACTGGTTACAGGCCGAAGCCTATCGGTTCCATCGTTGGCTGGTCCATACACAACGAGCTCAGGACTGACGTTTAATAGAGCGTCGGGGGCGACAAGGTGACACCCCAGGGTACGTGAGAGCAGTTCTTTTCCGGGATATAAACGTCGCACGCGATCGTATGTGTCGCAAGGCATCTGGCTCTTGAATGAGTGAATATCGGTGGCTCTTGTCCAAAGGACATGGTCGAAAAAGGTCGAAAAGATCTCCTGAAGGTTTGTCTTGGGACATTCGAGTGGAGATGGTCTTGAAGACCCGCGGGGGTCGATATTGGGCATAAACCCTGGTTGTGGCCATGGATGGAAGATCAGTCTGGTCTCGTTATTTTGTGTATGAGACCCTGTTACCAGGCCGTTAAGGAACTTGTTGACTAGTATCAGGGTCTTCATCTTGTCCCAGGAGTCCTGGGGCGCGCTTGTCATCATGATGAACATGATGCCGGACTCTGCGATTGGTGAGAGCGCATGAGGATACAATTTGGCCCATTCTTGCTCGATCCTCAGCTGTTCTGTGAACCAGTCCATTGTGACACCTGCGTCTTCAAGAGAAGGAAGCCCCATACCACCGACAACGCCCTGTCGTGGCTCCCAGGCGAAACTGTGGGTGCTTAACTTCCGATATTTCCCAACCATAATGGCTTCTATGGAGTCGATCGTGGTAGCATGTTCACGTTCGTATTCATCGAAGTCACTGTGCTCACCACAGTCGATATCACCATCTGAGAACTTGCGACAAAGAAGACAGGTAGGCATTTGTCTATAGAAGGATGCGAGTATAAACATCGCGTCCCTCTTGGCCAGCTCCCAATCCCGAGGAGGTGGCAAGTTCCAAAGCTCATGCCTTTGCTTTGGTACACATCGGCAGCAGAAGCCTCTGTGTCCGAGGGAGTCAAGGCTTTTCAGGCAAAGGTTGCAACAGCCCCAGGCAGCACTGCGCCAGCTGCATTCTCTGCAGTAGAACTTTTGTGCCTGGCGGATGCCAGACTTGCAGTTAACACATACATGCTCGGCTGGAACTGGTCTTCCGGGCTTGTCAAGGTAGTACTCTACTTGCTGTTGTATAGTCATGTCGATTTAGGCTTGGGTAAGGTCCTTCGGGAAGTTGTAGAGACTGTAGAGATGTAGTTGAAGGATGGGGATTCTCACTTGCTAAAGAACAGTGGGAGTTTGTGGATGAGAGTGTGTGTTTGCGTTTGGATAGTACCTAATTTCTTGTTTGTGTTTAGATACCTTCTGTGTTTGCTGTGTTTGGCATTGGTGACGAACAAGAGGGACAAAATCTGGCTTGATTCTGAACAATGACATGTGCACGTATCTCTCAGTCGAGGTGGGATCCTCCAACAGCCTGACTCACTGTTTGTCCCCTATAAAACTGCTTGGTGGCTTGTCATATATTGAATGTTACTGAGCAATGGCTTGGTAGATGTTCAAGCGTTGGCACTGCCAGTTGCAACCAAGCGGCATGATCATACCAGGAGCCCTAAGTTCTTCCATACCATCGAACACACTATTTCGATTTGCTATTCATGCCGATTGTTCTTTTTTTTTTTTTGACTCCCTCATCTCGATCCTCTCTCCTCAGACTACGACCTCTCCGTGACGCCTCACAGGAAATATCACCTTCTGATGCAGCCTCTGCAGTCTCTTCCTTCTTTTCAAAGCTTCGTCTTCATATCCATAGAACGCTAGTCCAGTTGCGACTAGGTACAGTGGTACGTCTGCCATGAGATACGAAAGCCCTGACAGGTAATAGTATGCCTCTGTCAACGGCTGAAGAGGCGTCCACTCACGTACAGGTTGTACAAGCTTCACATTCTCGTCCCCTTCCACCCATGAAGCCTTTAGGGCATCATCTTTATACCTCAAAGTCCACGAATCGACCAAAAAGTTCCATCTGGATATTCCATTCGGCGTCTGGTAGGTGGTGAATGTTTTGAGAACTGCTTCGAGAAACTCTCGAAGCTCATCCTCTGTTCTGTCTGACCACTCTTCCTTTGCTAACGCACTGATATTATCAGTCGCTTTATCTGGAAGTTCGCCGTCGTCGAAAGAATATCCAGTCACTGCCGTCGAGGGCTGTGTGGAGAGAGATTCGATTGCCATTGTATGGCTGTTGGCAGTGTCGCCTGAATATGAAGAAACGCCATCCTGGGCATCCTCGTCACCCAGAAGAGATAGTGGCTCCCGAAAAGGTTCATTACCGTCTGCTTCTGTCCATCCTTGGCTACTTTCAGATGCTACCTCTTCGATGGGAGACAGCCGTGATGGTACGTGAAAGTCAATCTCAGTCCTCGGTATCACATCCGGGGCCTGTATCTTGGGCAATTGGATAGCAAGAAAGGAGTGATAATCGCAGGTCCAAGTACGATTTCCCGGTTTCTGGTCCCGTCTGACACACACTTCGCAGAGGTCGACTGTGCAGCATGTGCAACAAACGTAGCGAGGGCCTGTAATTGTGTCAAGACACATGTCACAGTAGTTGTCGTGCTTCAAAACCAAGGGGGCCGTCTCTACAGCTCGAGCACTTCTTTGAAGAGCAATTTGGGCGAAGCTGTACGACCTAAGCTGGAGCAAGAACTTGCCAAGGCGCTCCCATCTTACCCCGTGAAGGTCGAAATCATCCAGTAGACTTTGGGCATCCCGGCGTACACCTTCGACACAGCGATCGAATGGTGCTGAATCATTGGCTTCAGGCCTGGTCAGGTCATAAGCGTTAAGCCCGTACATGTCTCGGTTCTCCGTAAGTATCTTCTCGACATCCGAGTCTTTGGCAGCACCTAACACCATGGCAGGCATCAAGCGTGTTCCCGACTGCTGTGCTATCTGAAGCGCAGTCCGGTCGAAGGAGTCCCGTTGAGTCAGATCGATGGACTCATCCTCAAGAAGAATCTGTAAAGTCTCATTCTGCCGATTGGTGATCGCCCCGAAGACCGGGACGTTACCATATTTCGATCTTCTGTTCACATCTGCACCACGTTCCAGGAGGAATGACACAATCTTGCCGTGACCAGAATAAACTGCCTTGAATAACGGGGTCTCGCCATCTGCTAAGATGCAATCGGTGTCGAGTTCGGGATTCTTTTCCAATACGAGCTTCAAATTCTTCTCAGATCCACCAGACACAATGACAGGTATGATGTTTTCTCCATCCTCAAAGATGACATCTGTTGACGCTCCTCGTTCAAGTAGAAAGTTGACCATGTCCTCATGTCCTTCCACACAAGCGTACCAGAGCGGTGTCCTCTGAGCTCTATCACGTATCTCAAGTGACGAATCATCGACTGCGTCAAGGATGGCTTCCAAAACCTGGGTGTTACCCCCCTCAGCAGCGGCATGGATGATAGTCTGGCCCCTATTGATCTTGGATTGCAACTGTTGGTTTGGGTCGGCGCCCTTACTGAGAAGTAGCTTTACTGCATCCAGTCTGCCACCTGATGCCGCTGCTTTTAAAGGAGTTCCTGCCCAGCCCCATTCGAAGTTGACCAACTCGCCAACATCATCCACAACCTCCAAGAAAGTTTCTATCACATCCAACCATCCCCCTATACAAGCAGCATGAAAGGCGCTTGATTCTTTGGTAGTTTCCGGGTAAGGATCGGCCCCACGCTTCAGGAGTTCTATCACGATACTTCGATGACCTTTGTTGGCAGCAATGTGTAGTGGAGCGCTCGAGTTATGCGGTCCATTCCGCATGTTTGGATCTGCTCCATGATCAAGAAGCATACTGACGATGTCCAATCTCCCAGATGTTGCTGCGATACCAAGAGCAGTGTATTCCTTTTCGCCTTTCGCGTCTATGTTGGAAAAGAACCGACTCGAAAGAATAGCTTCGACCATCTCAAAGCTTCTCCAGTCGACCGCAATATGAAGTGGTGTTTCATAATCCGGTTTACTTGGATCAGCTCCGTGAGAGACAAGGCATTCGACTATGTCAAGATCATTTAGATCTGCCGCTATTGAAAGAGCCGTGCTTCCATCCTTGTCTTCTGCGTTGACCTGGCATCCAGCACCAAGGAGCAGCTCACAGCCCAATAAATTCTGAGCCGCCACTGCGATATGTAGGGGAGAGCTCATTCCCTTCACGGGGCACTCGACTGCAGCACCTGCGGCGAAAAGCATCCTCAAAATGTCATTATGGCCCGACTCAACGGCCAGAGCCACTGGCGAAGCTTTCGGCAGATCTCTGGGGGGATCATTGAGGTTTGCATGCTTCTCGATAAGCATATCAACGACCCCTTTCCATCCCTTGAAGCATGCCATGTGAATCAAGCGCTCATTGCGCCAAACCTGATCCACATCGATATGTTGTACCAGGATCTCGAGGGCATTAGTGCTCCCCATCCAGCTGGCTAAGAAAGCTATAGGCTTTCCGTCGAATGCAGGAGCGTCAAGGTCTGCTGAGAACTCCAATAATAGCTCGACCATTTCGGAACTGTTCTTCCCTGTAGCAAGCGCAAGTGGTGAATGGCCGTTGATAGATGAAATGTTAGGATCAGCCCCAAACTCAAGAAGTGTTCGAACAACATCCACTGCGCCAACATCAACCGCGGTGAACAATGCCGTTTGGTTCCATGGATCAACAGCATCTACTTTGGCTCCGGCCTTGAGAAGAGACCGCACGCTCCGGCAATGGCCACGGACTGCGGAGAGGATCAAAGGTGTTGACCCGTCATTGTCTGGCAGGTCTAAATTCCTTGCGAAAGGCAGAAGCACCTCCAAAGCTGCCCCGGGCTGGGCTGCAGCATAGTGTATTGCTGTAGTGCCTTCCCAGACGTTGTTGACTAATGTCTCTAGGTCTTCGTCGACCTGTTGCTTTGATTTTGGGGAAACATAAACAAGAAGATCATGGATTTTGTGAAGGAAGCGGTTTGGGGTGGTTTCTAGGGCCTGAGGGAAGATCTCTTTGATTACAAGATCCGCGTCCCACTGAGCGAGCAACACCAAGGGTGGCTTTGCTGATTGAATGCGAGTTTGAGCTGTGGTGATCGATCGCCCACGGCCTCCAGATCCGTCAGAGTCACATGTACTCACACTATCGTCTGTGCTGTCCGATAGATTTCCAGCCTCGGCTACGTCTTCATTCTGCTTGCCAGTAGCTGAGGAAGGGGTCTGTAGACGTTCTATGGCAGGGGGTGATCGAGTCTTAGACCCCTTGGAGGACCTACTTCTAGACCTCGAAGGACTCGGCGTCTGGGCCCTGAATAACGCAGGCGATCGTGTTGGCGATGGGCTTCTGGATCCCCAAGTACGTTTCTGGAACGTGTAATATCGCCACTTTTCCCCAGCTGGAGAGCGAATGAAATCCCATAAATCCCAAGATATCTTGTAGGTATCTGGCCCAAAGAACTTCAAATGATACCTTAACCAAGACGAAGAGTATTCCAGAAATACGTATTGATCTGCAAGAGCATCTCGACAGTAGTCCGTCCATGGGTCGTAGTATGATTCCCAATCTATTTCCCTAACATATTCGAGGCATGCGGTTGCGAGGGTTTGATGTACAATGTTGACATCATATGTGTCGAGAATAAAGTCGTAAAGAGTCTGGTGCAGAAGTTCGAGAGTGTCCTCGGCGCCAAATCTAATTAGTCGCTGGCATGTTCTTGTCAAATCGCCGACAAGATCGTAAGTCCTTGTTACCGAGGGATTTAGAAACCGAAGGATCTCCTTGGCCTCTTCTATTCTCAAGGTCGACCTTGCTATGCAGATAATCTGAATCAGCTGAAACAAATCGTTGCGTTCATTCTGAATGCGGTCCATGTCTTGTTGATATATCGCTTCCATGGTTGGAGGACAGCTTGTAACGAGTGTAAAGACTGAGTTAGCCCCTGTGTCTTTGATGTGCCACAGTTCCTTGAGGACTGCTGATGCGAAAAGGAAACTTCCATTCGACCTCTCAACAATGACGGCTGAAACAGAAGCTCGTCCAACAGTGGCTATCCGGCGACTCAAGATAATGCGATCGACCTCCTCGTCGACGACTTTCTGAATATCGTTGAGGACCATATCTGGTGTGACTTCAATATGGTTATTTGCGAGCGCGAACCCTCGGATCGAGTCTGCCATGCGTGATGTTACGACAACTTTGAGGGCTGAAGTGGAAGACTCACGACGAAAAATCGTGTCTAACCCACGGAGCAACCGGATGATGAATTCGTCTTCACATTGATCTAGGCCATCAATTATGAGGCAAGCTGGTCTAGCATCTTCAGCCGTCACCAGCAACTGGACAATTTCCATCAGTTGGATGAAATGTCCGCTATTCTCGGTTTCGAGAGGTGATCGTGACTTCTGTCTATCGACCCCAAGGGTTTCCAAGACTGATTCGAGCTTTTTCCTTGTCGCTTGTGACATGGTGGTATACTTGCTCAGCATAGACTGGACAACAAGATCCAATATTGGAGGGTTGTGTCGAGAGCTCTCCAGACTATCACAGTAGAATGGTATGACGAGGCTCTCCTCCCACCTTTCATCGTTTGAATCTTTTATTGCACCCTGGATGTACTTTGCCAAGTTTGACTTGCCACATCCAGGGCTCCCTGTAATGAATAAGAGACTGCCTCTCTTGCCTTCCTTCCATTTGACGAAAGTAGGATCTTCCAATATCCATGAACATGTCTGCCAGTGAGGAGCCTCGCGATCAAGACCTTTATTCTCTGGTGTCACAGAGCGAAGAAGGCGGGTGAAATCACTGAACTCCTTAACGTCTTTTCCAGGTCAGCATAACATATACTCCTGTAACAACACTTCAGCCTACCAAATTTCTCCGGTTGTGTCCGACTCTGAGCTTGAGACACAGCAGTCTCATGCTGTGTTGGTACGTCGGCATTGATGCGGCTTGTAACTTCTTTCAATAGTTTGTCGACACTTGAGCGAATTGCCGACTCTCTAGAGGCTTTCGATGCTTTCCCAACTTCATGTCGACGCTTGAGAGGAGCGCTCTGGCGTGGCCGAGGTGACGGCCTGGGGAAGTTAGCAGTTTTCGGGCATATCAAAGGTATTTCGTACTGTGTAACATCTTCATCTGTCCATGTGGGTGCCTTTTTAAACGGTTTGATCGGTGGTTCAGCCAGTCTCACTAGCCTTTCAACTTCGCCCCAGAACAGCTCGAACCGTGGGTGTAAAGGGGAAGCGAATTTAGGCAATCCAGAGTGCGTACAATTTAGATCTATGTTATCGACGCCCTGAAGGACAGCAGACCATTGAGGGACTATCTTGGCCAAGTTAGCGGGATTCACTTTGCTACAAGATTCACTTACAATTTCTTTCGCTCCATTGGGTAACCGTTGCGGATGAGACTCATAGCAACATAGGAGCTTAATCGAACGATGAACATCAATAGTGAATTCCATGTTGATATCCTGTACTGAGTTTGAGAAAGCACGGAGTTCCTTTGTGAGGTTTGTCGCAACTGCTGCTTGAAGTTTCATCAAAGATGCCAATTTCTGCACAACGACGAGGTCTTCAGCTTTTTCCGATCCCATATGAGGGGTTCCCATGAATATGATAGACTTCGTGGCTTGCTTGATGGCTTTCCAATCGTCGTTTGTCGCGCATAAAAGTATTGCCTTGGGGTTTGTCAGTTGGAAGATGCATGGAAATTGGTTCTCAGCCTACTCTTTTGACCACTAATCCGCCAAGACTGTGAGCAATGAATATCAAGGGGCGGTCCTATAAAGACATTAAACAAGTTCATTGAGCATTGTGGCCATGCATACTGGGTGATCGAGTCGTTTGAGAACCAGATTTCGGAGTAAATCATTGGCGTGATGGATTATTCTCGTATTGGCGACATCGCCGAAACGGTGAGCATTGTAGCCAAATGACAGGACGCGAACCGAATCTTTAAGACGGCCAAGAAATTCTGGCTTTGTAAACCACGGTTCAGTCGTACCCTCTTGCTTCCAAGTGGTTCTGAGATTCCCCCCTAGTCCATGAACAAAGACGAGGCTTATATAGTGAGTTCAGGATCGGCATTGGTTTCAAGTTCAACTCACTCCACAAGGTCTTTCTGGCCGGCCAATGAGTTATCGCTCAAAGAAGGCACGTACATCTCTTTGAGAATGTACTCATAATGTGGCTCATCATCCTGATCCGATATCTTGAATCACAAATGGTCAGCGGTCGCCCATACGCGGGGCTTGTAGCGCCATCTCCTTTATCTTACCGTGGTATCATCGGACGATGTGAGACTTTCCTCTCGGCGACGCCCAAGTCTCATTTTGAAGACAATCAAAGCAGGAATTTGTAGTCAGGCAGGACAGCCTTGAATCCAAACAATCTTGAGCACGGCTGGCTTATGAGCTTTAATCGAAAGTGCGGGTTTGGGGGCCGTCAGCAAGGCTCAGCCTCATCCAATGATGGAGGCTACCAGAGGCGATGCATGGGTCCTGTTGACCCTTGCAAGTTACGTAGTAGCATCCCTATCTCAAGTGTCAGGTGCCAATATGTGTTGATTCGATATGTTGATTCAGCTCAAGATGAAAAAGAGAAGACGAAGTTTCCAAGACTCGTAACATTGATTTAAATTCCGGCTCAAAATGGTCACTCAGAAACTTAGAGAGGGGGCTGCTGTCCATTGAAGTGGTGAGCACTCAACAAGGGCTGTAGCACAATGGAGTCCAAGCCTGTCTAATGATTGTCAAGTTGATTCTCATTTTGGGGACTCTTAATAACATGCGCCGAGATATTGACAGTTGAGAGTTGTGTCTGTAGTTGTAATCAATTCGGATTGCATGAGTCGAATAGATGGATGCTCACCCGCTTCTTCATTCAAATCCTCTGTCTTATCACAATGAGAGCAGATCATTAATCGTACTACTCCAGGCTTATTTTTCTTTGGGCCGGTAACTACACTGAAGCCTGTCTAATGCCATCATTTCGTTCCTACAAATGATGACTCCTAAGTTATTGTTGCAATACTCTACAAATACAGCTTACCCTGCAACACCGAAATGAATCTTGGATCAGATATGTGATTGGCTCATATTCTTATAGTAGGGCTCAATTACTCACTCGGCGTCCTTCACCCACGGAGTGAGACCTTGACGTGACTCACTTTAAAATGGAGGAAAATAGTTCTTACGCATGATTTAATAATAAATACCAAAGGCAGCTTTATATTGGTCTCCTACCTATTCTACAGCAATACCTGAACATTCTCCACTGCTTCTTCAGTCACTTGAGTCTCCACTACCTGACCTAGAACGTCCAAACCTAACTTAACTCGAAAAAAGACCCCTCCATCCAAGTCAGGTGATCGAAGCAATTGCCCCTCCCTCCTTCCTGGGTTATCAACACCGATAAAAAATCCACCATAGGCTCGACCAGACTGAACGAATATCGTACCATCGCGAATCGCCAAGATGTTGGACATTGAGGATTTTATCGAAGAGCGCGGCGGAAACCCTGAGAAGATCCGAGAGAGTCAGCGTCGCCGACATGCTCCTGTAGAGCTGGTTGACGAGGTTATTGCCCTTTGGCAAGATGCGCGCAAGAGTGAGTCACTGGATACCTGTGCAGTTTAAATTATCTCTTTGAACCAGCTAACACCTTGGAAGCTCAGTATGGAGTTACACAGATCGGCACACAAATAAACGGCGTTCAAAAGGAGATTGGCCTCAAGAAACGAGCCAAGGAGGACGCGACCGAGCTACTTAAGCAGAAGGAGGAGTTGACAGAGAAGAAGAAGATCCAAGAGGAGCTTGCCGCAGCAAAGAATGCCGAGCTCAAAGTCAAGGCAAAGCTCGTCGGAAACTACGTGCACGACTCCGTCCACGTCAGCGACAACGAGGACAACAACACAATCGAGCGAACCTGGGAGCCTGAGACTTTCGACAAGACCAAGCAAGCTGCTCTTTCCCACCACGACGTGCTGCTGCGACTTGGAGGATACGACCCTGTTCGAGGAGTCAAGTTGGTCGGCCACCGAGGTTACTGTTTGACTGGCTACGGCATGTTCCTGTAAGTCAGAAGGGCATGAAGGGCGACAACGATGTCTGACATACATTGACAGGAACCTCGCACTCGTCAACTATGCCACAGCCTTCCTCTTCAACAAGGGTATGCATACTTGAATCTCCAAATTACCATGCACCGTTAACGAACTCTGTGCTGCAGGCTATACTCCTAACCAACCACCCTTTATGCTCAACCGCGACCAGATGGCCAAGACTGCACAACTCTCTCAGTTTGACGAGGAGCTTTACCGTGTCTCCGAAGGACCTACACCTTCTGAGTCGGATCGATACCTGATTGCCACCAGCGAGCAGCCCCTTTCCGCCCTTCATGCCGAGGAGTGGATCCAGCCCTCTGAGCTCCCTATTAAGTACTGCGGTTACAGCACTTGCTTCCGAAAGGAGGCCGGTAGCCACGGTCGTGATGCCTGGGGTGTGTTCCGCGTGCATCAGTTCGAGAAGGTAGAGCAGTTCGTCCTCTGTGGCCCTGATGACAGCTGGGGTCAGTTTGACCAAATGATGGCCAACTCCGAGGAGTTTTACAAGTCCCTTGGCCTTCCTTACCAGGTCGTGGGTATCGTCACAGGTGCGTTGAACAACGCTGCTGCCAAGAAGTACGACTTGGAGGCGTGGTTCCCCTTCCAGAAGGAATACAAGGAGCTTGTTTCTTGCTCCAACTGCACAGACTACCAGACCAGAGAGCTCGAGATTCGCCATGGTTCCAAGAAGGGCAAGCAGATCGTTGGTGGTGGAAAGAAGGAGTATGTCCATGCTCTGAACGCTGTAAGTCTTGGGATGATCCCCGCGCTGGTTGAGTTCATATCACTAATCCATATTTACAGACTCTCTGTGCTACTGAGCGAACACTGTGCTGCATTCTTGAGAACTACCAAACGGAGGAAGGTCTCGTTGTGCCCGAGGTCCTGCGAAAGTATATTCCTGGCGAGCCTGAGTTCTTGCCTTTCATCAAGGAGACCCCTAAGGAAGTAGAGAAGACCGAAAAGAAGGAGGCCGGCAAGAAGGAGAAGACCCTTCCCGTTCGTGACACCAAGGCGTAAATGAATGCATGTCAAGATGAGATGAATGGAATGTTATAGAGGAAGAAAATGCGTTCTGTTTTCGATGACACAGCGTATGATGGGAATGCAGTAGAAATCAATAAAAATCATCAACAAGATAGTTGGTCAGCTTCACAAGCTGAACGAATCTCTGTTTGTTCAACATGTTTGCTGCTCGTCTACGAACAAACCTCTGATGAAAGCTTGAATACGGATCGGAAGAGTTTATCTCCGAAACTCTGCGGCACTGAACGAGTTCGGCCGGAAGCGCTAGCTCACGGATCGTTGAGCCCTTTCCCCGCCCCCTGTCAAAATGACACCGGTCCTCTCCGTGATCAAGACGGAGGTGGGTACCGTTTTGGCATTTAACTGGAAGTACATGGCAGCCATAGTCGGCACCGTCAGCGATCGAATGTGCAGAGCTCTATGATTTTACTACGCAGCAAGATAAAAAATCCTCATATATACGGCGTAGGATGCAGGTAAAGGAGTTTGTTACTGGGCGCGTAGGAATTCATTCCATCCGAACTTGGTGGCGGTGATAAGTAACTAGTTACCGTACAGTGCGGTCGCATCTTATCAAGACTGTGCTGTACTCGGAAACGGCCCCACCATAATGCTTCTGCCGGAGACGCCTCCTTTTCATCACCAGAGCAGGAGGCGCCTGCGAATGGGTGAAATTGTCGGCCGGGCACGGAGGGTGGGTGCCGCATGTCTCTGTGAGAGGGTGAACGTAGAAAGTACCCAAACGTTGCTATGAAAACGAATCCGTTCTGTCCCTGTGGACATTGGCATTGGAGACTCAAAAGCTGGTGCCGCCGGGCGGAGTGGAGGTAACAGTCCCGACAATACCTGGACCATGTCCGGCCACATCCATTGTGATCCGGAAGTGACACAGGATATGTCGAGTACGCGGGATAAGGTGATTCTGACCACTAATCCAGAGGCCCATGTGTGATGATGAAAACAGGGCTGTCTTGGAGGAAAACATGATCTTCTTATTGCCCCTTCACGCGCCGACGAAGCAGGCTGCCACAAGGAGGGGAAGAATAGCCCCGGGTCTGGCTCGGATCATTATTTGCCGGCCCGGAACCAATAAAGGGCTGCAGCGTGCAAAAATAAGACATCGTCGCCATTAGTTATCTGTTTGTATACAAGAGCGAGTGACAGACATATGGGAAAAGTGTGAGTGAATGCCATAAAGATACAGCCGCGGGATGTTGAGGCTCCAAAGCTCTAGCCTTGGTTGTCACCATGTCTGAGGGCTAAGGAATAGGCTATGGACAGCAGGGCGGCGGCTATTGAAGCCACTTGGTGATATTATTCATGTGTGATGCCGCAGCAGAATAGCTCGTGTTTTGTGGTAACACTAAAAGGCTGAGCTTCACATGTACTTTCGATATTGACTGCAGCGCATGGATGCAGGAGAGGACAGCGACGTGGTAGGGTGTCTGCTTGTCCTACCTGGAGAAAACAAGGAGATCTCTTTCGCGATTCGGAATGATGATCGACCGGTCAGCGCTTTAAGCACCAACAAGTATTCTCTGAGAGGTAAATTGGATATTAATTAAAAGGTCTGTCAGGTCTGTCCCCAAACTCGGAAGGCAAAGTGATGAACAAGCCCCAGCTCTGAAGACTGATGAGACTACCGAACACACCCACCCGCCAAATCCAACATCAAATTTTTGTGCACTGTGAGTGTCCGGGGAACAACATCGGCGGTGAATGGTAAATATCAGGGGAAAACCTCGGGCGGTTCGGCCTGGAGGAAGGGGAAATGAGAACTACTAGGCCCCGGTGACGGCGCAATTAAAATCGGCATCGCCACCAGCTTTTACGGGTTTCACAAAGTTGGAATTCGGGCGACAAAACAACCGTGCTTTTTATTGAACTTATGTCTCCCTGTTTATACATACAAAGGTCGATGTGTGATGATCGGAGGAGGATGAAGCTTAATCAAGGCTGGATGGACTCCGACGTTACCGACACCCCGGATATACCGATGCTCGGGGCGCGTCGCCAAAACAACCCATTTCTGCCCTGCAGACGATGATGCCGCTGATGCCACCGCGGTTACATCCACCAAGCTGTCCGTCAAATGAGAGGCTCATTGTGATCAGTCCTGGGGATTCTGGGGATAGTCAGATCGTAGCGACTGTGATGAAACCTCGCGACAATTTCATGCGTCGACCTGTGCAGGACTGTGT